GTTCTCAGCTCCAGCTGTGAGGCTGAGATCTACGCCGGGGCCATGGCTGCACAGGAGCTACGCTGGCTCACATACCTGCTGACTGACCTAGGAGCGCCGCCTCGTTCTCCTCCAGTTCTGTACGTAGACAACAAGGCCATGCTCGCTTTGTGTCGGGAGCACAGACTGGAGCACAGAACGAAGCACATTGCTCTCCGCTTCTTCCTGGCTCGTGAGCTGCAGCACCGTGGTCAGCTACGCCTTGCTTACGTGGCCTCTGAGGCCAACACTGCTGATATCTTTACCAAGGCACTTCTGCCTCGTGATCATCTGCGCTTCTGTACGATGCTAGATCTTGTGCCTACTTGGCCTCACTTGCTCACTTCTTGACCTTGTTTGTACTGTGATCTTACTATACCTGCACTTGCTTGTTTACCTTTATATATGATCTTGCATGTGAACTGGCCTTGTGGCCTTGAGCTTGTGCTCGGACTCCCTGAGCTTGCTTTGCTTTGCTTGACTGGTCTTGTGACCTCTTGTTCTCCCCCACTTTGCCTATGGGGGTGTGTCAAACTGTTATGCTATAGTCTATGAGGCTGTAGTGGGGTAGATAATATAGGGTACAACACTTCTAGGTTTTCCTACTTGTACCCACCTGTTTCCTAGTTCATTCATTCTTCATTCTTCACAGCCACTAATGCCAACCTTGTTGACATTTTCAATAAGGCCCTCCTTCATGGGCCTCACAGTTTTTACGTGTGAGCGCTTGGACTCACTCATCTTGCCAGGTCTGGGGGTGTTCCGGTTCGGTAGGCGTTGTGCTATGTTCCAAAGCTTCACCTAGCCTGGGGGTGTGTTGGGGTGTGTTAGAGCTCGCTCTAGTCTATACTTTGGTGTTATTTTGTGATTTTGCCATGCTTAGAGTGGGTTACGCTTTCAGATTCATTTTAGGTTCATTTTGTAGTTTTCTGCCCAAAATGAACACACCTTAGGTTTAATTAGGGTTTTCTAATTCTCCTTCAAATGTGTCTCGACACTCTTGCTAATACAACTCATATCACCTCTCTCACTAGCCATGGCTACAACTCAATACCTAACACAGGAGTGTCCTCTCAAAGTCACCAGTGTTTCCTTGTGACTCCAAGTTCAGGACAACAACTCCGTTGTCCTTGATTGCCTTCCAGATGTAGGTGTTCTTGTAAACCAGCTCGAAACATTTTTCTTCGCAGTTGGTTCTGATCTCGACGCCGCATTTCAGGAGTTGTGCTACAGAAAGAAGATTGAATTGAAGGTCGGCAACGACGAGCACATTTCTCATGTGAATGGTGCAGTTAGCATCATTTGACTGCACGTACACTTCTCCAATGTCGTAAGCTTTCAGCCGATTGTTGTTTACAACTGTAGTTTTGCACAGTCGTCGCTGATCAAAATTGTTGACCCCACCATATGTTGTCCGTAGCAGCTATCTGTCAGAAACTAACGAGCAGGAAAGATTGTATTGAGTAAGAATGTGATACAAGTACTAACCCTAATTTGTGTTGTACCCCATATAGGCTACCCCACTACAGCCTACACAACATACACAACATGATAGTTTGACAAACCCCCATATGCAAAGTGGGGGGGAACAAGGGGTCACAAGACCAGTCAAGAAAAGCAAAACAAGCTCAGGGTGGATCACGTGTCATGTCATCCTAACGTCCTGCCGAGTGCTCGTGCTATTCATGCGTGCATTCTTTGCATGAGCATATGTCATTCTGCATGGCTGTTGGATATTTTCATCTCTGTGTTTTTCTCCAAGTTTAAATGCTTGATCATGCAAGAGAAATCCAGAGCTTTCCAAAGATACCAAGATCACCTTATTCCGACCAAGATCGCCCAAGTTACAAGATTTCCAAGGCTTGGATTTCTTATTACCTTTTGGGGTTATATCTAATTTGGGTGATTACTTGGGACATGACTATAAAGGGATCTTTGGTTGGGTGGTTAGGGAAGGCAACCTTGACTTCTTGATTGGGGTGGCTAGAAGTTTCTAGCATGGGTTGCAAATTTTGCAACACCTAGGCAAGATCCAACTAGATTGGTTTTTGCATGTGACACCTTAAAGACCTCATGATGAGGATTGCATCCTTGCTGCTAGGAAGGTTCCTAAAATCCTTCCCTAGCTCTTGGAGAACCCCTTCCCTCTCATGGTTCTCTTAGAGTCCCCAACTCCAACTTTCTATGCCCTAATACTTGTACTTCCTCCACCATCCTAGTCATGCGGCTGCTGGACGTTTTTACTTGGTTCTCACTCTATATGTCATCTTAACGACTGATTAAACTTGGAAATGGTAGCTAAGCCTAAGGCGCAAAATCCTATTGAGAGGATTTGCGTTTAGTTGAGTAATGAGTTCCTCGTAAACTCTCAAAGTGACGGATCCTGAACAACATCACGAAATCACCACACAATCTGAGCACAAGCAAATGGCCACAAGGCCAGTTCACATGCAGAGTTCTATAAATAAGAACAAACAGTCCAGTGTTCACAACCTAGCAAGTGTAAGCATGCAGGTATATATATATAAATCACAGTACAAGGAAAGTCATGTTATGTGATGCTATCATTTACATTTATGTCTGTCTGCCTCCCATCATATGTTCTTGCGTTGCATGCGTGGTGTGACCGTGTGCAAGAATCTGTTTTTGGTGTAGTTTGGATCCTCTAGGTGTGTGTGAATGATGCTATTTTACTTGAGCAGATATCTGAAGTAACTCCTCTGCTCAAGTGCTTTCCGCCAAGCCAAGGATCGCTTCAATCAGAGCACGAACACGAAAGTTACGAACATTTGAAGTTCATATGCTTTTGATATTTGGTTGTGGCGACTATGGGAAGTTGTGGGGTTGACTCCATAAAGGGTATAGACCATTGGGAGTTGGAAAATTCGTCACCATCACTGTAGTTGCTGCCAAATGGTTGGGGGAAGCCAAACCAGTTTGGCAAGTGGGGCCAAGTTGGGTGAAATATATTTGAGAGGTTGGGAAAAAGACAAGGGTGAAAGTTTGGTTTCTATAAGGAGGGAATCTTGTGAGCATATGGGGTTTCCTTGGTTGGGGACTCCTTCGGGGCCTTCCTTCTCTTCCTCCTCATCCTCTCCCACCTGGTTTCTAGCTACTCAAACTTTCTTGAGTGGTACTTATGAGACAATTGTGATTGAGTTAAGTTTCTATGGCGGCATAACCCCTAGTGCGCCGAGATTCATAACTCAAGATTTACTTAACTTTTTGATACAACTCAAATTGGGAATTGTAGCCACTGTCTAGAGCTACAACATATCTAAGACGATGAACTTTCCATAGAGAGCGTTTCTTAAGAAGTCGCCAATTCTGTCCATAGAATTAGTCCAACGTTTTTGAGACATTTCGGCCCCTAGACGTTCATAGACTCCGTCCTCAGTCTCTAACAAGTCATGCAGTGAGCAAGTGAGACGAAGCAGGTAGAAGGCCAAAAGCAGTACTAAAACGCTGATGATCACCAGACTGAAGTGCCTTGGTGAATATATCAGCATTGTTGGCCCGAGAGGCCACGTAAGCAAGGCGTAGCTGAACACGCTGCTTCAAATCTCGAGCAAGGAAGTAACGCAGAGTGATGTGCTTTGTCCTGTGCTCCACTCCGTGCTCCTGAAACTTGGCAATCATGGCCTTGTTTTCTACGTACAAAACTGGAGGAGAATGAGGCCGTTCTCCCAAGTCGGTCAGCAGGTAGGTGAGCCAGCGTAACCCCTGTGCAGCCATGGCCCCTGCATAGATCTCAGCCTCACAACTAGAACTGAGAAAAGAAGACGAGCGGGTAGACCGCTAAGAAATAGAGCCGGAGCCAAAGTTGAAAGTGGAACTCTGTGATGACCGCTGCGCAGCCAAGTCGTCAACCCACGAAGCATCTGCGTGTGTAGTGAGGACAAATGGGCCATGTCTTCCAAGCACGAGCCCCATGCCCCATGTACTGCACAAGTAGCACAACACTCTCTTAGCGGCCTCCTAGTGCTCTGGTCGGTGTCTCACCCAGATCTGTGCACGTTTGTCTCCTCTGCAGCCCCAACTTCACAAAGGCCAATGCCTTAGTGTCAGCAGTGGCAAAAACCAAGTGATCGACGTACACGAGGATGTAGAACGGCAGCAACGAAGTGTCGGTGCACAGAAATAGCGACGGGTCAGTAGTCGAAGGAGCAAACCCAAGAGCAGCAAGCGTCGTCCTCAGTGTGTTGTGCCACTCACGAGGCACCTGGCGAAGACCGTAGACTGGCCACCGGAGGCTCCACTGGGTACCTGCAGGAAACGACCTAGTGAAGCCAGGTGGGCGACGCAGCCAGATCTCCTCGTGCAGGCTGCCCTATATGAAAGCAGTGCTGAAGTCAAGAGAGTGAAGCTCGTATTCACGTTGAGCGGCAACGTGCAGCAACACCCGAAGAGTGGTCATCTTTGGGGTAGGGGAGAAGGTCTGGAAGTAGTCAACTCCCTTTCACTGACTGAAGCCTCATGCCACGTAACGAGCCTTGAAGACAGGCGCAGAACCCGGCGGCCGCTTCACCCTGAAAATCCACATGCCATCGACTATGTTCGCCCCAGGAGGGGGAACCTCGTCGACATAAGTGCCTGTGGACTTCCAGGATGCCATCTCTGCGTCCATGGCTGTCTCCCATTGAGAGGAGTAGGGACCCATAATTGCCTCTGCGCAAGAGCGCGGGGTCGGGATGTCTACAGCATCCGTGCCTCCCTCAGGTGCAATCAGCATGGACACGACATGAGGTACAGCAGGTGCAAGACATTCAAAGTCCTCCTGCATGTCCTCAAGGACGTCCGTGCCAAGAGCACACTCACCCCCGACGGACCAAGCACAGACAGACTTTGAATTGGGCCTGAACTGGGCCCCCTGAGGGGTCAGCTATTTTGATTGCAATAGGTGCAGGGAGTGGTGTGACTGTGGTACTGTCGTGAAAGAAACAGCGGGAACCACTTGAGTCCAGCGTGAAGGTGTGCAAGGCCTAAGCAAGTGCAATACCAGGGAGAGTAGACTCACTAGCACCTAGAGAAGCAGCCCCTATACCTGGGTCGGGCGGCATACACAGGTAACAGTCACCCTCAGCACTAACAGTCAAAGCATACATGGTAGCAAAGATAGCATCATAGTCAAGAGAAGATATCCACACCCTGCCTAAGGAGCTCTAGCTAGCGGGAGAGCTCAGTCGCGACGGAAAACTCTACGCGCCAGGCGTCTTCAAGACGGGAGAAACAACAGGACTGTGTGTGACCAACCTTCCCGCATGTCTGATCGGAGCGGTCACCTGTGCGAATGACGTACTGAGAGCAAACACTACCCCCAGACACCCCATACTAAGCAAGCTACTCACGAAGCTTCTGGGGCGTAGGGGTCTCCCGCTGACGCTACTGATGCTGCCTCTGACCACAGCCAGAAACTCCCCTATGACAGGGTCCACCCCGACCGCCACCACTGCCGCTGCCACCACTCCCACTGCCATCACCACTGCCGCCGCCACCACTCCCACTGCCGCCACCACCGCCGCCACCAACTCCTCCACTCCCACCACCACTCCCTCCTCCACCACCGCCACCTCCAACGCCTCCACCGCCTCCACCACCGCCTCTACCGCTGCCACCCCGACTACCCTTGCCTTCATTGCCTCTACCGCTACGGCGCCTACCACTAGGAGCAAACGCAGCACCGACCTCCTCAACATGAAGGAAGTCAACAGCAGCAGCAGAAGCTTAGGAGGGGGCAAGGGGGGAGGTGGAACACCCCTCAAAGAAGGGACTGCGAGGAGTGCCACGAGCAGCACCTACAACAACTATGCTTGTCTCAGCTGCAAGGAGGTGCTTCTCGAGCAGGTCAACGGTGAGTTTGGCGGGGTCCATGGCAAGAAAGAGGTCCCTATTTTTGCTAAGAGAGTCAGGGAGGCGAGTGACGATGACGGTAGCAAAGGCGGAAAGCTCGGGAAAGAGGTAGGGCAGTATAAGTCGGCCGAGAGTAGCAGTGGCAGGGGAGAAGTAACGAGCGACTACAGCGCCATACAGGGCTTTAGCAGTCTTGTGCTGGCCAAAGTGAGCTTGTTTGGCTAACGGTAGGTGGTTTCAAACGGCTAGGCAAGCAGCAGCATCACGGGTAAGCCACTGTGAGCGAGTGAGACTTTCAGCTGTGTCAGGAGGGGCGACTGAGAAACCAGACGTGTGGTCAAACAGGGATACGTCGTCTTTAGCATCGCTCATTAGGTACAGTTGTTGGTCATCGAGCCATGTTTCGAACTGGATCAGGCGGCCCTCAGGATCAAACGAGAGTACGCTGAGACCAGCCATAGCTGGGTGGCACGAGACTAGTAGGGCGGAGCGTGTGCAGGGCAGAGCGGCGTGCGGGCAGGGTAGGGCAGCGCGTGGCTAGAAAAGGCGGCGCACGGCCAGCAGGGCGGCACGCGAGTAGGTAAGGGCGGCGCACGGGCAGCAGGGCGGCACGCGGCCAGCAGGGTGGCGCACAGGCTGCAGAAGACGGCGCGCGGGCCGGCAGGGGTGGTGCGCGGGCATGCAAGGGCAACGCGCGGCCAGCAGGGCGGCGCGCGGACTGCAATGGGCGATGCGCGGGCAGGCAGAGGCGGCCCGCGGTCAAGCAGAGGCGGCGCGCGGGCAAGAAGGGGCGGCACGCGGCCAGCAGGGCGGCGTGTGGGGCTGCAAAGGGTGGCGCGCGGGCTGCAAAGGCGGCGCGCGGGCTGCAAAGGGCAGCGCGCGGGCTGCAAAGGGCAGCGCGCTGCTAGCAGGGTGGAGAGCGGGATGCAGACGTGTGGCGGGGGGGCTGCAAGGGGCAGGGCAGGGCGTGCGCGGGCGGCGCAATGCAAGGCACAGCGTACGTGGGGCGGTGCAATGCCGTGCAGGGCAGGGCGCGCGCTGGCGGCTCGACGCAAGACAGGGCGCGCGCGGGGCAGCGCAATGCAGGGCAGGGCGTGCACGTAGCGCGGTAACCAAAGTCCGTCACAAGCTAATAGTGGGCCCCAAAAAAAACGGTCCTAAGGACCTACTGCTCTGAGACCATGTCAGAAACTAACGAGCAGAAATGATTGCATTGAGTAAGAAAGTGATACAAGTACGAACCCTGATTTGGGTTGTACCCCATATAGGCTACCCCACTACAGCCTACACAAAACACACAACATGATAGCTTGACTTTGTCAAGATACCACTTGTTGAAGTTGTCGCGGCTTCGACATGCGATGGTGGTGATCTTCGGGGGAACAATGTAGTCAAGGTCAACGTAGAAGCCCGAAAGGATGTTCTCGTGGGTCGAAGGAAAGCCGGGAGGTGATTCGGGGGTGTTCTTAGGCAACTCGTAATCAGGTGGGGCTCCAGAGTCCGATCGTAGGATCATTGTTCGAGCTCGGTACGATGGGCTTGATTGGTGTGATAGGTGGGAACTGGACACCGTCATAGTAGTAAATGCTTCAAAGAAGCGCCTTGCAACTTAAGAATGTTCCTTTTCCCTTTTCCTTGGATGAGATGCATGCGGGGCCTTGCAAGGTACTTGCGACTGCTGGAAGCGGCATGGTCGCTGTTGCAACTAGTGTTGAAGAGGACACTCCAGGTTGTTGGCCGAGTGAGTTTTTTGAGAAAACTGAAACGAGAATGTGGTACAAATATGCAACCCTAGAAATGTGTACCCCATATCGGCTACCCCACTACAGCCTACTAAATATTATGATTTCACACACCCCCATAGGCAAATTGGGGGTGAACAAGGGGTCACAAGACCAGTCAAGCAAAGCAAAGCAAAGCTCAGGGTGGATCACAAAGTCACCACACATTCCGAGCACACGTTCAAGGCCAGAAGGCCAGTTCACATGCAGGAGCACACATATATATAAAAGGCTAAACAAGCAAGAGCAGGAGTATATACATGTGACAGTACAAGCAAGGTCAAGAAGTGAGCAAGTGAGGCAAGGCAGGCACAAGACCAAGCTGAGTACAGAAGCGCTGATGATCACAAGGCGCAAGTGCCTTAGTGAAGATATCAGCAGTGTTGGCCTCAGAGGCCACGTACGCAAGTCGCAACTGACCAAGCTGCTGCAGCTCACGAGCAAGAAAGTAGCGGAGAGCAATGTGCTTCGTTCTGTGCTCCAGGCGCTGCTCCCGACACAAGGCCAGCATGGCCTTGTTGTCTACGTACAGCACTCGAGGAGAACAAGGCGGCTCTGCGAGGTCAGTCAGCAGGTAGGTGACCCAGCAAAGCTCCTGAGTAGCCATGGCTGTGGCGTAGATCTCAGCCTCACAACTGGAGCTGAGTACAGAAGAAGAGCGAGTAGAACGCCAAGAAATAGAACCAGAGCCAAGACTGAAGAAGTAACCCTGAGACGACCGCTGAGTAGCCTGGTCGTCTGCCCAAGAAGCGTTTGAGTGCCCAGTGAGAACAACTGGGACTCGCCCTCCAAGCACTAGCCCCATGCCCGACGTACTGCACAAGTAGCGCAACACTCTCTTAGCTGCATCCATGTGCTCCTTCCGGTGACGGCCGGGAGCGACATAGCGTGCAAGAATGCTGACAGGGTATGCAAGGTCTGGTCGAGTGCAGGTCATCAGGTACATGAGGCAACCCACAAGCTCTGGATACGGGCCACTCGGCTCTACGGACTCATCCGAAGGCAGAGCTGAGAGCGAGTGACCGGTAGGCAGAGGAGTGGGCTGAGGCGAGGAGTACGTGAAGCGGAAGCGCTGAAGGACCTGCTGCACCATGTGTGACTGAGTCAAGGTGATGGTGCGGCGTGCTCTGTCCCGGGTGATCCGCAAGCCAAGATAGCTTGTCAGTTCACCCAGGTTTGTGCACGTGTGTCTCTTTTGCAGCTCCGACTTCACGTGGGCGAGTGCCACAGTGTCAGCAGTAGCAAAGACCAAGTCGTCGACGTACACAAGGACGTAGAACGGCGGCAGTGAGGTGTCGGTGCGTAGAAACAGCGTCAGGTCAACAGTAGAATGTGCGAACCCAACTGCCGCAAGCGTAGTTCTCAGTGTGTCGTGCCACTCACGAGGCGCCTGGCGGAGACCGTAGAGTGGCCGTCGTAGGCTCCACTGGGTACCAGGAGGGAACGACCCAGTGAAGCCAGGTGGACGGCGCAGCCAGATCTCCTCGTGCAGGCTGCCCTGCAGGAAAGCAGTGCTGAAGTCAAGAGAGTGGAGCTCGTAGTCACGCTGAGCGGCGACGTGCAGCAGAACCCGAAGAGTGGTCATCTTTGGGGTCGGGGAGAAGGTCTGGAAGAAGTCAACTTCCTGTCGCGGAGTGAAGCCTCGTGCAACGTAACGCGCCTTGAAGACAGGCGGAGAGCCCGGCGGCCGCTTCACTCTGAAAATCCACATGCCACTGACGATGTTCGCCCCAGGCGGGGGAACCTCGTCGACGTAGGTGCCTGTGGACTTCCAGGAAGCCATCTCTGTGTCCATGGCTGACTGCCACTGAGAGGAGTAGGGACCGGCCATCGCCTCTGCGTAAGAGCGTGGGGTCGGGATGTCTGGTGCATCCGGGTCTCCCTCACGGGCAACAAGCATGGACACGAGATGGGGCAAAGCGGCAGCAAAGCACTCAAATTCCTCCTGCCTGTCCTCAAGGACGTCAGTGCCAAGAGCACACTCACCCCCGACGGACGGAGGACAGACAGACTCAGACTCAGCAACTAGGCTAGCAGCGTAGTCTAGACGACAGCGAGCAGCAAAGTCGACAAGCTCAGCAACTAAGGCAGACGCAGCAGCAGACTCAAAGGAAGGGTCAGTGACAACATTAGCCAGGAGACGCGTGACAGTAGGACTGGCAGCACGAAGAGAGTCTGACCCAAGGTTAGGAAGAGCAAGAAGAGAGGAAGCAGGAGGAGACGGCAGTGGGACACGCTGTGGAGCAGTGGACGGATGAAGCGCCATCCGGTGAGTGCCTGGGACAGCAGGAAGACGCTGACGCTGGACACGACTACTAGAGAGAGCAGTGCGGACAGGCGACTCAGGACGAGACTCCGGCGACGCTGGACGAGACTCAGGCTCACGATGCTCAGTAAGACCTCCAGACGGACCAGTGTAAGGAGCAGGACCAGGGAGAGAGGAGGCAGACGGTAACTGCGACTACAACTGGACAGACGGAGGACACGCTAAGGAGGGAGGAGGACAAGGAGGAGGGAGCTGACCAAGAACCTGCTGAAGGAGCGGAACGAAGTACGGCCGGGACCGTGCAGCGACACCAGAGTCAGCAGGGACACCCGCACCAGGGTCCTCAGCACCAGCGGAAGCTCCAACACCGAAGTCCTCAGCACCAGCCGCAGCCCCAACGCCCGGGTCTGCAGCACCAGCTGTAGCTCCAACGCTCGGGTCCTAAGCACCAGCAGCAGCTCCAACGCCCAGGTCCGCAGCACCAGCAGCAGCTCCAACGCCCGGGTCCTCAGCACCAGCAGCAGCTCCAACGCCCGGGTCCGCAGCACCAGCAGCAGCTCCAACGGCAACGGGGTCCGCAACACGAGGCACGCCACTCCAAAGGGTGCAGCGCCGCTCGTGTCACTCACGGATCCGCTCGCGGGAGGGGAGCTCCCTAACGGGAGAAGAGGCACTAGCACCAGTCCCAGCAGTACGTCCGGCTCGAGCAGTACCTCTCCGGAGGCTGCAGTACTGTAAG